TTTATTTATTTATTTATTTATTTGTTTGTTGATTGATGCTGCAGTCATTTGTGTGTAAGCAATGCATCTCTTCCTACAGAATGAATTATTCTATTGGGATGTCCTTCTTCTTCCAATAGGGACATAAATCACGGTTGATGGACCCCACGTATGTTTAGTTTTATAATCAAAATTGTGCTTCCAGTTCACACAAACATTGTACTGAGTGTCAGGGTGGCTACATTAACTGAAAAGATAAAACCCACAAATTCAAGGATTTGATCTTTATATATTAAAAAAAAAAAATAACATCTTAAAACAATCAAACATGACCCAAACAAAAACAGAATGGACAAAAATAGAACTTGAGGAATGACAAAGGCACAGTAAAGTTGAATCCCAACATGTTTATTTTAATATTGATTTCCTTGGTCTTTTTCATATTTTGTAAATTTCCATATAAATGGCCAATTTGATCATACTTATAGGATGGGAACTAATTTTCACGTGAGCCTGGAGTAAAAAAAAAAAAAAAGATAATCTCTGCGTAAAATCAGTTTGCCATCCTTTGGATTGGATGTGACTTAAGTTTGATCTCACTTATCAGATCCCMAAAGTGAATTTTAATTAAACAAATACATCCTGAATAAGTCTGTTTGCCAGATTCCCATGAGTTACCTGGTTTGGTGTCGCTGCTCTGATGTTGGACGTCTCGTTCCGTTCCAGCGCGCTCCAGCCTGAGGTCAGATGATCTGTGCTCTTGGCGTTGTTCTGTTGGACCGACATCACCGGACTACACGGTTTGAGGAACATGAAGTCACTCTTGGAGGACTCCGGAGTCAGACACATTTTATAGCAGTACATCTGTGGGAGCACACCGCCGCCGCCGCCGCCGCTGCTGCTGTGCGCCTCTGCGCAGCCTGACGCGCCCGCGGACATGCGGACATTCAGGTTGGACTTTTTGAACACCTCCGTGGTGGTGGAGGAGAGTTCTGCTGGGGAGCAGCAGCAGGGGGAGTGGGAGGAGGGGAAGCTGGACTTTTTGCCGGACGCTCTGCCCTTCAGTCCCCTCACTGCCACTAGGACGATGATGGCCAGCAGGAACGTGAAGGACACGGCCCCCAGAGCCACGATTATGTACAGGGTGAAYTTGGAGCTGTGCTGGGGGCTGTGGAGGTCATCCAAATCGGGCTGCGACTCCGGCAGGCTGTCAACCACTGACAGGATGATGGAAGCCGTGGCCGACAGGGGCGGCTGACCATTGTCCTTCACCAGAATGACCAACCGGTGCCTGGTGGGCTCCTTGTCCTCAATCTGCCGCAGCGTCCTGACTTCCCCCGTGTACAGAGCGACACTAAACAGACTCGGGTCTGTGGCTTGGAGGAGCTGATAGAACAGGCGCGAGTTCTGACCTGCGTCCGCGTCGGCCGCGCTGATTTTAGTGACAAGGAAACCCGCGTCAGCTGACCTGGGGACAGGAGCGCAGGGCGCACTTCCGTTGTGCGCAACAGGGGAAACGATTACAGGCGGGTTGTCGTTCTGGTCCAGGATAAAGATGCTGACAGAAACGTTGCTTCTAAGCGGGGGGAATCCTGCGTCCTGGGCCTGGACAGTCACCTGAAAGTTTCTCAACTGCTCGTGATCGAAAGACCGCAGCGCGTAAATGTTCCCGTTGTCCGAGTTTATGGACACGTACGTGGACACGGGCATCCCATGGATGTCCCCATCTAGGACAGAGTAGGACAAGTAGGCGTTCTGACCCGAATCTGGATCCAGGGCTGTCACGGAGCAGATGGAGGCTCCAGGCGCGTTATTCTCAGTTAGGTACACCGAGTAAGAAGGCTGCTTGAAGTGGGGCGCGTTGTCGTTTTCGTCTGACACCTGAACCAGAACCGTCCTCCTTGTGAACAGGGGCGGGGAGCCCATGTCTCTGGCGGTCAGTGTGATGTTGTACTCAGCCACCGCCTCCCTGTCCAAAAAATCCGAAGTCACCAAAGTGTAGTAGTTCTTAAAGGAGGAGTGGAGCTGGAACGGGACGTGATGAGGGATCTCGCAGTCCACGTTCCCGTTTTCCCCGGAGTCTCTGTCCATAACGCTGATCACGGCTATGACTGTCCCCGGCGGCACGTCCTCCTGCACAGGTGTGGACACGGACGTGAGGATCACCTCTGGCAGGTTATCATTCTTATCCAAGACGTTCACCAGGACTTTGCAGTGCACCGCCACAGCAGACGGACCTTTATCTTTGGCCTGGACGTAAATCTCGTGCATCCTGGCTTTCTCGTAATCAATCACACCTTTGACTTTGATTTCCCCCGTGTGCGGGTCCACGCTGAAGAGCTGGCGCACTTTGATGGGCGCGTGGCCGCTGAACGAGTAGGTGATGTCCGCGTTGGGACCCTCGTCCAGGTCCGACGCATTGAGTCGGATCACCACTGTGCCTTTGGGCGCGTTTTCCTCCAGGCGCACTCTGTAGAAGGACTGGTCGAACACCGGCGCGTTGTCGTTGGCGTCCAATACGGTGACGTCGATCTGCGCAGTGCCGGACCTCTCCGACGCGCCGCCGTCCACCGCGGTCAGCACCATCTGATGCGCGCTCTGCTGCTCCCGGTCCAGCGGGGTCTGCAGCACCAGCTCGGCGAACTTGCTGCCGTCGCTGCGCGTCTGGATGTCCAAGTAGAAGTGCTCGTTCACGCTGAGCAGGTAGGTGCGCAACGAGTTGGAGCCCACGTCCAGGTCCTGCGCGCTCTCCAGCGGGAAACGGGAACCCGGCGCGGCGGACTCGGAGATGTCCAGGTTAAARTCGGTCCAGGGGAAGCTGGGAGAGTTATCATTCACGTCCAAAATCTCAATCTCCACCCTGTACAACTCCAGAGGATTTTCTATCACAACTTGAAGGTGAAAGGAGCAGGATGAACTCTGCTCGCACAGTTCTTCTCGATCTATTCTTTCATTCACAAACAGGACCCCGTTTTCCAGATTCACCTCCACGTACTGTTTCTTGGAGCCGGAAACGATCCGGAATCTGCGCACGGAGAGCTTATCCAAATCCAATCCCAGGTCCTCCGCGATGTTGCCAACAAAAGCTCCGTGCTCCAGCTCCTCTGGGATGGAGTAGCGGATCTGTCCCCAGACTGCGTCCAATAAACAAGTGAGCATCGCGTAGCGGAGCCATTTCCCACAGGGTCTTCTCCTCGCTGCGTCCATCTYTCGCCTGAAGCAGGAGGAGTGAATCAGAAATGAGTCAAACGTGCGCAAAATACGCAGAGAAAGTTCCCATCCGCGAGACTGGAGCTGAGCCTGRGTGTCTGACAGAAAACACACACAGAGGGAAAGAGGAGAGAAAGATGTGAGCGAGCCTGGCTCTTAAATGCGTGCGTGTGCGCGTGTTTATTGTTATTATTGGCCCCACTGTTCCAACAGAAGCTCGGATAATCTGTTCTGCCTACAAGCACGATCAAATTCGTGTCACAGTTTCTGAGATTTGACCCCCCCACACACACACCACAGAAAAGTAACCAAATACTTTTCAGCTATTAAACAAAAACTGATGAAAAATGAAATGTAAAAAAAACAACAGTAAAACAAAATAAAATAAAATAAAAAACGCTCCTGACTCACAGAGCTGAGAAGTTTCAGCTGCATGAGAAATAACCAAAAGAAACAGAGCAATGAAACAGATTATTTGCATGACTTYTGCCAGCAGGAGCATTCACATTCATAAATAAGCTAAATGATGAAAAGTTATCTTTAAATGCATTAGAAAATAAATAGTTCATGACAGAGGAAATAATAATTCCTCTAAAAACCGAAAATGATCAGAGGAAAAAAAACAAGAGAGAAATTAAATTTTAATACGAATAAGTGATGAAACACATTTGAAATTTCAGCTACGGTAATTCTAATTCTATTGGGCTGCATATTCAGCAGCCGTTTGCAAAACTGACTCAGATTAAAGGGCTAGCCTTCCTTCCAAGCAGAGTTTTAAACTAAAACCATGTTTAGAAATGATTTACTTGTTTCGACGAGACCCTGAATTATGCGCAAGTCCTTTGCATTGTTTCTCAGCAATTACCCAATACATACATATCTGTACAGCTGACTGAAATACAACGATTTTTGTGTTAGATAAACGTGATAAACTGTGTGCTCAGTTTAAAATCTTTAACTAGAAGCAGAGCCAATGGTTATTTCTCAAATATTTCATGAAAATCKTTAAGCTGCTTCWTGAGATATTTTGCAAACWGACAAACAGGGTTGACTGCAACAGTTTTTTTTAAGGGATTACCAGCTACCACACCAAAATTGGTTGAATTATAACAAATATTATGCTTTCCAAGGTCAGCTGGCTGTGGTGGCCATCTTGAAATGGAGTAGCTCCAAAAGGTAATAATGATTATTTTTCTAAAAGTTTTGATAAAATCCATCATGTGAGWKATGAAARACAGTATTTTGTTAACAGACAAAYCGGACTCCAAATGATAACAGTTTTATGTCGTTTTAAGCAACAATTTTGCATTATCAATCAGTGCTCAAAGTGTTGGGTAGAGATGTTCGCTTCACAGAGCTGTTTAATTTTGAACGATTTAAGACATCACATAGAGAAATATGTGATTAGGCCATCACGTCACGTGGGTGGAACCATGTGTTGTGTCAGGTGGAAACCCTGTCCTTCAGAGCTCCTGTACTCCACAGGTCTGCTTATTTTCTGCAAAAAAAGCAAAGCAGGTGCAATTTTCTGTGGCTAAGAATTATAAAATAAAGATATGACAAGGAAAAATATAATAAAATTCCAAACGTCTCTTTACTGCCTGCAACTTGAGTCTRGTAATTTGTTGGAAGGAGCCGTTCAAAAGATTCAGATTGTTTGTGAACATCACATCTCTAGTGTTGRGGATGACTCTCAGTTACACCACATTTTAGCTTAGTAACCATAAAAATGATAAAAATATAGCTATTTTGTGTTTTTTTATGTTTAGTTGGTTGTGGTGACTGTAGGCAGTGTAGGGAAATGCTAAGGGCACCGACCATCTAGGGGGCAGCACAGATGGGCAACAAAAATATATATTTTATATTTTTTTTATCAGAGTATGTTTGATTTAATCTGAAGAATAATCACCGGTTACTCAAGTTTATGAAAGTAACTTGTTCTGTGGGTTTCTCAGTTGCTTTGTTTCTTCATGAATTGTTATGCTGCAGATGATTCATGATAGCATGAATGGTTCCAGAGATAGGCCTTGATTTGTCTTCCTAATCAGGATAACCCATTGATATTTGCTCTAAAGCCTATTTTAAGGTTATTCTAATGATAAATTTTTGATGTAATTTTAGAGAAGAAACCTCAAACAAATTTTGAATACTAAGATTTACCAGATGGAAAGAAGAAGAAGAAAAAAAGGATTTGCTATTGCACAGAGAATTGGCAAAAAATGTAAGGCTTTTCTGCTGAAAATCCAWTTTTTTGTTGCTACTCCTCAAAAGAGTGCTTCAAAAATTATAGGATTATCTTTCAAAAAGTTAATTCAGAGGTTCATTTTGTTAATTATATTTTGACAAAATGCAGTTATTGCAAAATGTTTTAACCAATGCACCTTTTTGTTAACATGCATACCACTTTGCGACTCAATCCTCAGTTTGACTTGATGAGTCACATTGGTAAACATTTTCATGGAAGAGCTAAGAATATGAAATTAGTTCTGTAAATGTATTAGAAAACACAAAAAGAGAAGCATGATTCATCATGAAAATTAAAGTGAGTCAGAGAAAAGCAACAAATCCTGCATCAGCTAAAGATAAAAAAAAGATGACCTCTGAAGTTTTCACCTGGTCGTGCTTTATTCCCTGTTTGCAAAACAAACTTGCAAAATTGACTCCAAAAAGCTGCTCCAACTCACAGAGCTCCACATTTCATTGTTCTGACACTAAAATAGAGGAGCTACAMCTGTTTACCTTCCACCTCAATACTGCTCCACCCGTTTGCTCTAAAAAACTCATTTTTATCCTCTCCTTTTTTCCTTTCTCCTAGTTAAAAACTGAAAACACAATCTGTCTGCAGAAATGAAACAGCAGCAGATGGTGAGGTTTTTCCATGGGCTCATGCTCTTTTTAATTAATGGAATGGAGATTAGAGGGCATTTTCCCTGGATCATTAGTGAACAGAGGAATTAAGACATTTTGTGAGGAATAATCCCAAGGCTATCCATGTGATGCACATGCTGGTTTTTTTTATTCTCCCCTCTTTCTCTGTGGTCAGATTGACCTGATTTTTTACAGCCTGTAAGTGCGTGGCATCACTTACGCAGGGCAGAAACTAAGTAGCTGGGATAAGGGGACAAAGGCACCACATTTAGGGATAAAAACTACAAAAGAGATTATCTCTCTGTCACCCYCTCCATCCTACACTCTCTCCCTCACACACAATCTCATTCAGCTGATCGCTCAAGGACAAAAGTGGACTATCAATCCCTTTGTCTTTGACTACACTCCAGCTTTAAAAACTGTGAGATTAAAGTAGGATAGCCAACATATACCCCGGCTTTTAAACATTAATGTGATTTTAGTCGTGTTTATCTACAGCATAAATGCCATGTAACATGTCTAAAGTGCAGATAATTGCTTTGAATGTTCGGAAACATTTGCACAGGTAAGACCCATCAGTCGACTGAATCTTTTCATGTGATCACAGTCAATTTTATCAAAACTCAATCTGGTTTCCCCCCGCTTCATCATGTAATAAAATAGTTTTTCCATAATGACATATGCAGAAGGACAGCACAGTATGCAAAACAATAAAAGAAATGATGGAACTCATTACTCACAGTATGAATGAGTTTGATGAGCAGGAGTTTGAAATATTCCATGCTAGTGTGCAAAACATCTGAATGTGTGTTTGTTACAAAGACAGGGGTGGGTTAAATGTATCAGATGAGTTTAACTGAATGTATTATCAAATAAAAAATGTATTTGAGTTTGGAGAATCCATCTTTAAATACAAATTTTCTATTGCAAAAGCAAGAAAAAAGTAATTTAATAGTCTGTGAAAATAATAATAATAATAATAATAATAATAATAATAATAATAATAATAATAATAATAATAATAATAATAATAATAATAATAATAATAATAATAATAATAAACAACTTTATAGTATTACACAGGGTTGATTGGGTTTATTGATGTTCTAAAAAAACACTGGTTATTCGTACAACCAGAGGGGAAAAAATAATCTGTGGCACCAAATAAATAAAAAGCCATTTCCACTTAGTTTCATCTTGAATCTTGTCTAATTAAATGGAATAATCTGCCACTGGAATAAGACAATTGTACCTGTTAAGACTTTTTGAAATGATAATAATTTTTAAAAAAATCAGGCTCATAAAGAGAGGCATGCAAATTCCACACAGAAAGAGGTCCAAATTAGGGACTGTGGGGATGATGGAAGAAAAAAAAATCCCTTTCAACAAATCCAAACCCCTCCATCAAAGAAAAAAAAAAACTCTTCAATTCTTTTGGTCTAAATTTTGCCTGAACCAGTTTGGGGTAAGAAGATAGAAAATTGCGTTTAGGGGAAAGAGTGAGACAGAGAGAACAAACAATTTTGGAGCAGAGCTGCTTTTTTCTTGTTGGTTGGGCCAGATCAGACAGATTAAGGCCACATATACCTGCAGGGAGAGAAAAGGATAAACTATGAAGAAGCTATTTAATAATCCATGCATCCATACATTCATTTTCCTTACATTTTTTTCTGTACAAGGTCACAGAGCAGCATGTCTATCTGTGGCGGTCATTGTGTGAGAGGCGAGGCCAGTTAATAACACCACACAAATACATCACAGGAGCGGATGTTATGGGCCTTAACCCACAGCAGCAAAACCCGGAAGCTAAGCAATAATTCACAGTCACTTGCATTAATTTTTAGCTTTATCAAAAATATAAGTGAGACACTTTAAAAAGAAAGGGAAAAAAGCATCAGGGGCGTCTTCTGTTCCTTCAAGGAGTCTGATAGCTGCTGGGTATACCTTCCATCTTTCTTTGAAAACTCTTAGAGCCAAAAGAAAGATGGAAAGCCCAAAGCAAATGGCTCTTCTGGGATTATATGACAGAATAAAGCCTAGTCTCAACAGAAAATATGTTAAAAGAAATATTATAGATCTAAAAAAAAAATAACAGTTTATGGTTTTTTAAAATTATGTCCCTTGTGACCCCATACTTCATTAAAATGCATAACTTGTAATTGTGCATATGCTATTTTTACTATGA